ATGTTCTCGGAATACTGCTCTGAGCCGTACGTGATTGAACCAATTCGCGTCATATACCCTGATGGCCGCGAAGTCATAACACCCAACCTGGATCCACGAAAAACAACCTTGCACGTGTCATACGTGAATCGCTGCACAGGCTTGAAGCAAACGGGAGAGGAGATTGCTGGGCTGCTGAAACGCATGGGACACGGTGCATGTCCATCGGCATCTGACCCTGATATTGTCGATGTTCTAATCCCAGTAACACGACCTGATATTCTACATGAATGTGACTTGATGGAGGATGCGGCTGTGGCTCATGGGTTCGACAACCTGCCAAAAACCTTCCCGCAAACCAACACGGTGGGAGGTCCGCTTCCCATAAATAAACTGGGTGATGTAATTCGACATCAATGTGCTCAGTCAGGATGGCTGGAAGTGCTCCCACTTATTTTGTGCTCACACGATGAAAACTTCGGATGGATGAACCGCTCTGATGATGGCAAAACAGCAATTGTTCTCGAAAATCCCAAGACTTCAGAGTATCAAATTGTGCGTACATCGTTGCTTCCGGGTATCCTTAAAACGATTCGCGAAAATAAAAATCACGCTCTTCCTGTCCAAGTTTTTGAAGTATCAGACGTTGCATTCAAAGATGCTAGTGAGAAGCAAAGAATGGCGCGTAATGAAAGGCATGTTGCAGCAATTTACTGCAACAAAGCGGCAGGTTTTGAGATTGTGCATGGTCTTTTGGATAAACTAATGATGATGCTGGATGTACCTCGTATATTTAATGGTGACGAGAAAGCCCAGCGTGGTTATTATTTGCGTGAGGCAGAAGATCCATCGTTTTTCCCTGGTAGGGCGGCTCATATTGTGCTTCGCCAACCGGTGCCTTCCTCTAGAGGACTGGAATCCACCCATGATCTCATGCAGGCGCTAGGTGGTGATCAATGTGTTGGCACAATTGGAGTCCTTCATCCTGAAGTGTTGCACCGCTTTGACCTGGCATTCCCATGTTCAGCATTTGAATTTAATCTTGAACCGTTCCTGTAGGTCACACTCGTAGGACACACGTGACTAGGCGTTCTCGCGTGCGAGCCCTTTTGATTAGGATCCTGAGCCTACGTGTGGGGTAAAGACGTTGGAACATGGGAGAGCCTGTGCTAGTTGCGCCATCCTCGCGGACTAGCGCCATCTCCCATGAACCAATCGGAGGAGCGAGTCTTAGGAGGGCACCTAGCTTGTTTCTTCGTCGCATGATGCCGTCGCAACGTGATATAGCACAAGATCAGATCTACACGGCGGAACCATTCGAGGACCCAACGCCAATTCCCGTGGTCCCACTTACTACTGAGACGCAAGAGAACCGTCTTAAAAACTGGGTGTCCTTCTTGCAAGTCGCGAGTGCTTTCACTTTTTTGTTTTGTTCTTGGGGCTTGATTGGCTGCTATGGTACTTTTTTTGTTTATTTCAAAGACCATCTTGTTCCAGCGAATTCAGCCTCAGAACTTTCATGGATTGGATCAGTTCAAACTTTTCTGGCCATGATTGTTGGGATTTTGACTTGCCCTTTAGTCGATAAAGGAAACATGTTTTCTATGTGCACGGCGGGATCCATCATCATAGTTCTTGGTGTGATGATGGATGCGCAAAGTACAAATTATGTCCAAGTGTTTTTTTCGCATGGCATCTGCATTGGACTTGGTTCTGGTTTAATCTATCTTCCCTGTGTAACGTGCTGCTCAGAGTATTTTTCGACAAGACGCGGAACAGCATTGGGCGTTGCAACTCTAGGAAGTAGTATTGGTGGCTTGATTTGGCCTGTTGTGTTCAACAATCTGCAGCCAAGCATTGGCTACGTATGGACAATGCGTACTATCGGTTTTATGATTTTGGGCTTGCTATTTTTTGCGCTGAGTTGCTTTCGTCCAAGAAAAGAAGCAATTGAGCCAAGAAGGATGATTGCCATGAATGTGTTCAAAGACCCGCCTTTCCTTATTTTCATTCTTGCTTATCTGCTATGCATGTTTGGACTTTATGTCCCAAATTTTTTTTTGCCTTCGTTCGGAAAGCATAGCAACTTCAGCAGCTCCATCTTTCCCTATACGACATGCCTGTCCAAATCTGGTGGTATTGCAGGACGCCTTTTATCTATATTGTTGACCCAGCGAATCGGTGCGTTTAATTTGTTCATTCCTCGCACCATCATAGCAGCTGCTCTTATCTTCGTGTGGGTTTCAATCTCACAACAGGGCAGTTTTGTGACTTTGGTGATTTTGTATGGATTCTTTACAGGATCTCTGTTGTCTTCCGTGCCAATGCTTGTGTCCATGTTGACTGAAGAAGCATCTGAGATAAACTTGCGTCTCTGTATGGCAAGCTTTATTTCTTCGTTTGGTGTGTTGCTTGGTCCACCTATTGCTGGCTCACTACTTCAAGTGGAGCCTCCAAAATACCTCCATGCACAGCTCTTCGCAGGAGTTATGTTGACTGGATCAGGGTTGTGCCTGGCCTTAGCTCGCGCCATGAAGGTTGGTCTTCACCCTATCAAACGTTTCTGAAGTTCGCTCCAAACAGGCTCTTGTGGCAATCCGTCGGAAGAGTCGTTTGCCTTACGCATTACATCTGTTGTGTTTTCAAGCGCATGTAACGTAATCAAGGGTATCTCACATAATACCTCTTCTACAAGAATCAAAGATGGATCTGAGCAATTCTATGTTCTGCTTAATATTGTTCGATCGGGCAACGATAGTATGTAAACACCTGTGTATGTTCCCCTTCGGAAAACCGTGTAAATTATACCCAACTAATTGTATGTGTTTCATTGAACCATAGTTGCCTTACTTCATTCCTCTGGATAGGATTCTCGAGACGCAAGTTTTTAGATCTGGCTGAGCTGGGCGGGGATCACGTAAAGATTTGGAAGACAGGTCTGATTGCCTTCGAATCCCTTAAAAATATATGAAGGCTACTGACAAGACCTTCAACTTTTTTTAACCCTATCTTTAATAAAGTTTTTTGTCGTTAATTCTCTTGCTCTAGTTTCGGTTACTTGTGCTAAGGACAGTTAAGTCTCGTTGAATGGGCACGTTCTGCCAATGCTGACGCCGATTAACTCAAGTGCAAGTTCAGAAGTAGTGACATTGCTTTCAATCACAGTTCTTTAATTATGATCATTGCCGAGGGCGCTACTGCAGGCGGCAACGAAAAAGGTCAGAGTCGAAGATAACTCAGACTTCACTATCCAATGCGGTGGCTGCGCTGTCTACGTCCTTGGATGCTTGTGATTTTTATGAGAAGTCCAGGCCTGTTGGGCAAAAACGATCACACTAATTTTCCTTCTTTTAGGCACCAATTTATACGCTCAACGTAACTATCTTAAAACGTGTTGGGGCCCATCAGATCGATGCGCTGGAAAGAATTGGTGATTGCGATGGAATGGATGCCCGTGTGAGAAGTTTTCTAGTGCTACACTCGTCATCAAATATAGAGACCTTGTTAGGCAGAATAAACAAGATAGTTGCCCAGTATCATAGTGCAGATTCCTCCCTAGCATATGCTTGCTACGTACGAAGAATTTCTATTGATTAATACCCGGTTACGCGCTTTGGCTGGTAAGGCTCTTCTAGATACGAAATCTCTTCGTCCGTCAACTTGACCTTGACTGCGTCGACTGCCTCATCAATCCGGCTTGTCTTGCTAAGACCAAGAATAGGTGTCACATATTTTTTGCTCAGCAGCCATGCGATAGTTACCTGTGCCATGGCAACGCCCTTCTTCTTGGCAATTTCTTCCACACGGTCAACAATGACCTTGTCTGCTTCCTCACCCTTGCCAAGGACTGTCTGACGGAACTTGTCATGAGTAGAACGTTCAGTGCTTGGCCCATTCCATGGCCGCGCAAGAGTCCCAGACGCCAATGCGTACCAGGGGGTCAGGCCAACCCCGGTGTTCTGGCAGTAAGGGATCATTTCGCGCTCTTCTTCGCGATACAATAGGTTATATAAGTTTTGCATCGCCACGAATTTATGCCATCCGTGCTTCTCGGCAATATTTTGCAGCTGCTGAAATTCCCATGCAGCCATTGAGCTTGCACCAATGTACCGAACCCAGCCCCGCTCGATCACGTCGTTCAGTGCACGCATAATTTCCTCTTTTGGCGTCTCCCGATCAAGTCGATGAATCCAAAGAACATCAAGATACGTTCCAAGTCGCTTAACGCTCTCCTCAACCGAGTCAAGAATGTGCTTGCGAGAAAGTCCCATTCGGTTTACAAACACGCCGTCGTTGGTCCGCCCCCCAGCTGACCCGATGGGTCCTTTCTCGGCGCCAAAGTAGCACTTTGACATGATGACAACGCGCTCACGCGGAATATTGTACTTTTTCAGCGCCTTTCCCACAATCTCCTCTGATCTTCCATAGCTGTAAACATTCGCCGTGTCCCAGGTATTGATTCCCCGCTGGTACGCATGATGAAGCATCTCCAAAGACTCGGGCTCTTCAAGCACCCATTCAGCCCAATCTTTTTCACCGTAAGACATGCATCCCAAGATAATTTTGGATACTTTGAGGCCAGACCGCCCAAGATTGACGTATTCCATTGCGAGAGTGGATGGTTCGCAAACGCTTTCGTCGAGGCTGCCGTTTTAAAATGCACGGGTCAAGAGTTTAATAATGCACTCCATCCTCCCGTATTTTGTCCGCGGTGCAACTAGCACGAGCTGGAGAATCTCCGTCGACAATTCGCGGCGTGCAAGCTCACGTGCAAAATTACGACGACGGCCAAGGTCGTGAATCCCCTAGCCCATCTACATCAAACGCAGGCCGTAGATCCACACAGGTCTAGCATTCTATTTCACCCTCTCCAGCTTGAAGTATATTTCTTGTTACCATGTTCAGGCAAAGATTCCTTGGTGCACGAAACGTGTGATACGACAAGATAGTGTGGATGTGGTTGTTATGTGTGAATAAAATCTGGCGCTTATCACCAATATCGAAATTGTTAGATTTGTGTCATTACCCTGCATATTTTTCAAATGAGAAGACACCAGCCAAGATTCTAGTACTTTGAGGCGTCATGAGACTTACCTATATCGCTACATACAAGCTCAATAAGACCATTAGAGACTACAGTTAATATGTGCAATATATTAACGGCGGCAAATCCTAGAGAACGATGCGCCTGTGCGACAGATCGATCAGTGGCGATATGCTCAGTTCTGGAAAGTTTATGGCGGGTGCACTATACCAAGCATCCGAGCAGTGTCAGTCTAGGGTCCGTAAAAGGAGAAAGATGGGTCCGAGAAAAGACCATGATTATAGGTGATTATATAATGGATTCTCGTCTGACCGATCATGGAAGTTGCGAGATTTGCAAAGTTAATATAACACAATAAATAGTTAAACGTGTAGAAATAACTCGAGCACCAAATACGCCGAATTGCGGAGCAAAGAAGAGCGTGATCCGACTTTGGCGATGGCCGCTATGTGCAGCTTACAGAAGCAGGGGTAGTTCAAGGTTCAACAATCAAACATGTTCAAGGCGTAAAAGCTAAGGTCATGACTCGGTCAATACCAAAGCCAACACACAAGACCATACGCTGCCGTGACATATCCATAAATGCATCAGAACGCATTCCTCCATATTAGTCTATCGTCTCGTGACACGACCAGGATAGTGGTTGCATCGTGGAATTTCAACGGGTAATAGATTATTGGACAACATATCTATAAAGCGGCACCCAACTAGTACAATTGAAGCCCACTGTTAAATAGGTTTTGTGATGCATATTGATTGTGGAAAGTCGCCAAAGTAAAAGTGCGATTAGGTGAACTTTCCTCAAGCCTGAAATCTCATTAGCTCATGTTGGAAGGAATAAAGACTGTTGGCCCCAATTACAGATACTCCCCATTGAGCGTAAGATGTTGATAGACAATTTACAAACTATGAAACTTTCGGACCAAATTGACTCGGCAAACATGAATGCGCTAATGGAGGACATGAGCCCAACGCCGATGCATTTGGAAATCCTTGGATGCACGTTCTGCAACGTGTCAGTAACAAAAATACGAAAAGTAGTGGAGGGTGTGTTGATGATACTTGCCACGAAACCAAAACAACCTCATCATGTGGACGGCGTCTGGAATGGTGGCGTTGTTAGCCACAACGGCCCTTGGTGCCGAAGTCGCCAAGCAATGGAGCGTTGGCTGGGTCAATGATGTGAACCCAGATGGAAGGTTCCCTCGCCGTGCGATTGGCATCAATGGCAAGTTCCCCGCCGATCCCCTCACTGTCAACTCGGACGACTTTGTCCACATCAACTTTACCAACAAGTTTGGCGATGGACGCCCGTCCACACTGCATGCACACGGACTCTTCTTCACAAACGTCAACTACTACGATGGTGCTGCTAGTGTGACGCAGTGCCCTGTCCCGGACGGATACTCGTTCTACCACGAGATCCTCAACTCGCCAAAGAGTGGCGAGAACGCACCCAAGCAATGGGGAACATACTGGCTGCACGGTCACTACCAGGGCCAGTATGCAGACGGACTGCGCACGCCGTTCATTATTCACCGTGCCGAGGGAGAGGCGTACGACTACGACGACGACTACACGGTGGTGCTAGCAGATTGGTACCACGAGAAGAACGGGTACATTCTGAAGCATGACTACTTGAAGCAGAACGGATCGTACCCGACGCCCGACTCCGGACTGATGTACTTTGCTCACACAAAAAAGGGACTCGAGGCCAAGACCATGCCAGGCATGAACGAGAATGCGACTCTGCCATTTGAGCCGGGCAAGACGTACCGACTGCGCCTGATCAACATGTCGGCGACAACCGTGTTTGACTTTTGGATCGATGGACACGACATGGAGATTATCGAGGCAGATGGTGTGGATGTGGAGCGGTATCCGACAGACACAGTGCAAGTGGCTGTGGGACAGCGATACAGTGTGTTGGTAAAGGCACGAGACGAGCCAACGAAGGACTGGACGATCCACGCAAACATGGAGCGGGTGACGTTCGGAGACGTGGGTGACCTGAAGCTCAACCTGACGAGTCGGCTGACGTACGGAGCGAATGGACAAGAGATGGGAGAGGTGGAGGAGCGGAGCACAAGTGGGAAGAAGCTCATGGACGACACGCAGCTTGTGCCGAAGGAAGAAGTGGGCCTGGACAAGCCAGACAAGCGCGTGACGCTGGTGGTGAAGACGGGCTTGGACAAGAACAAGGTGCCGTATGCATCGTTCAACAACACGCCGTATGCCGGACCAAAGAGGCCAGTGATGCTGACGATGCTGGGCGAGCATGGAACAGAGGCAAGTGCGTACGAGAACCGGACCGAGGCGGTGATTGTGCCCTACAACCAAACGATCGAAATGACGATTCTGAACGACTCTGGCGGCGCACACCCTATCCACATGCACGGGACCAAGTTCCAGGTGGTGCAGCGGGCGAACGGAACGAAGGGAGAGATGCCAAAGATGCCAGAAGTGAATGAGGAGCAAAAGAACCCGATTCGCAGGGACACGGTGCGGCTAGAAGCATGGGGGAGTGTGACGATCCGCTTCCGAGCCGTGAACCCAGGAGCGTGGATCTTGCACTGTCACATGGACTGGCACCTGGCAGCAGGCATGGCGATGGTGGTAGTGCAAGCGCCCGAAGAAGCACAAAAGGTGCTGGACGTGCCGCCGTACGTGAAAGAGCAGTGCAAGGTGTTTTGGAACGAGGATGACGAGGATGCTACAGGACCGTGAGTGCGATGAGGAAGACAGCTGTAGTATGATGATAAGTTTTCGATAATAATGAAGAGTATGGATGAAAGAGCAGGAACAGAGTCGACGAGGGGTTGTGCGCACGAGGCTATGTGAGGGGCAAGAGACCGCATGTCGTAGGGATAGGTTTACGTGGTGGAGCACATTCTTTGCTCCACTACAGAAGAGACACACAAAGGCACAAGACGCTGGAGCGCGAGAATCACGATGCAAGCGAATGTGGACAGTGGGATCTAGTATAGGCGGAATTCTCGCATACCCAACCAACACAGTATCACACGCAAGTATGCCAAGAATGCATGCAGCCGATAGCGAGGCACGTCCCAGGTAGGGAAAAAAATAAACGAGTAGGGGAAAGCAAAGCAAAGCAGCTACGAACGGCGGATCATCAAAGGACTCGAGAGTGGAAGAGAATAGGTGTTGGAGCTAAAAAGACAGGGGACGTGGAAGGAGAAGGGGATCGGGGATAGGGGATCAGGGATCAGGGATCAGGGATCGGGGATGGCCGATGTGGAACACGAATGTATAGAAACGACAAAGCAAGCAATGACAGAGTGCAGACATAAGAGAGGGGCATGAAAATGGCGCGCAAGACAGGCGGACAACTTGGATAGAATGCAGACAGAGTGGTCATGTAAGCTATGCATGCATCTCAGCTATTGTACATCTTGTGGGGTATAAGCGTATGTAGATCCAGTGATCTTTTTCAGAGATCTTTTTTTGTCGTAATGCGCATCCAGCGTAGCGCCATATATTACAAGCCTGCAGCTCGACAGGCATCTTTCGTGAAAATCAGTGTCTTAGTCATTCTGAAAAGGTCGGGAAAAAGATCTTCCGATGATCCCTTGACGGTCGTTGGCATCAACGCCATTCCCATCCCTTAGTTATCAGATCCAGTCGTCGTCACCACCGCCTTGAATGGGTTGTAGCCCGTGTACGACTCATCAGGCACAATCGGGCCTGGCATAAACGTGGGCCGTGCTCCCAAGTCAACAGGTGCAGCTGCCGCGGCCGTAACCAGCGCCAGTGCCACAGCCATGAAGTGGAGTGAGAATTGCATGGGAGAGTTGATTTCAAAAGTGGCGGAAAAACAAGGACAAGTTGTACCGAGCGGGGTATCTGACGGAGGTGCCCCATTTATAGACGGACAAAAGCACAGCATGGAAAAAAAAAAGATTTTTCATGATGACAAGCATGGATTCATCGAGACGAATGCTATTGGCCTGTATACGGCAGAGTATTACTCTGCTCCAAGGCGAAAGAGTAAGATTGGACGAGATGGAGCATGATGCGGAGCAGGGACAGAGAGACGACAAGAAGGTAGGAAAATAGGAGAAATCAAAGAGGAAGAGAGGAGAGAAAGAGGGGATAAGGAGAGAGAGGGGGGAAGAGAAGGGAGGAAGTAGAAGAAGGAAAGAAGAGGGGAGGAAGGAAAGAGAGAAAGAATAAGTGCAAAAGGAAGGGGAAGGAAAGAAGAAAGAAAGCAAGAAAGGGGCCATAGAGGCTGCACAGGGAGAGGAAGAAGAGAAGGGCAGAGAGGAGGAGGGAGGAAGGGAAAGACATTTAAACAAAGACAAACGGAGGAAGAGAGACACTGAGAAAAAAAAGATAGAAACAGGGACTGGAGAACAAAGGAGTAGGAAGGGAGAGGAAAAGGGCGAAAGGGGGGAGGCGAAGGGAAGGGAGGAAGGGAAGAGGGAAAAGGACGAAGGAAGGAGGAAAAGGGGACGAAAAGAAGGGAAGCCTCCACTGGGGGGAAATGAGTAGGAAGGGGAAAAGAGAGGGGCGAGGGAAGAGGGAAAGGAGGGGGAGAAGAAAGAACATAGAAGGACAGAAAGAAGGAAAGACAGAAGAAGACAGGCAAGGAGAAGGATAGAAAGAAGGAGAGAAGGGAGGAAGGAAGGGAGAAGGAAGGAAGGAAGGAAGGGATAAGGAAGGGAGAAGGA